ATAAGCCCAAGTAGGCCAAAACCTTGAGCCAGCTCGAGCTTAAAGACCCTCGGAACCCAGCTACTTGAGCCGGGCTAGCCAGCCCATCTTCAAGTCTAGGAACTACCAGGATGACCAGTCCGGCCGAGTGTGAGGCAAGTTCAGCCGAGTCAAGATGCGGGCCGACATTGGGTGAGCCGACACAGCACGAGCCGAGCCGACGCCAGAACCGAGTCAAGCGACTGGTACTGAACGCGCCGTTCCAATGAGCATGAAGGCTTCCAGGTCGCCCACCAGGTCGCCCACAGCTGTGAGCTCCTGGAAGCTGCACCAGATTACTCTAGGTAAATCCTCCTGAAAAGCCTCCAATAACGCTCGAAACGTGATGTGTAGTCTTCTCTTTCATTGTTCCGATACTGGGTTGGATGTCACCTTGATTTCTTTTGGCTCTCTTGGGCACTGAACATGCCAGTGACTATGTTCTCATAATAAGTAAGTTATTTAACCTTTTCAGTCTGTCTTCGCTTATTATGGAGAATTGAAGGACTTGACCAACTTTAGGACTTTAATCACAGACCACTTCCAGGCTTCTTGTGGGACAGCTTCGACATCCGACCTCTTAGGCATTTTCCAGCGCACCTTTCTGCTAAGCCGGGGTGAAAGGAAATCTGCTCTAGCTTCGTTGCTGCAGCTACTGGAAGACCAACAGGTAGAACCCCCTATTTCCACAAGTCCTTTATTCCTTCTCCTTTTTCTGCCGCTTGATGGTTCCAAGCCGCTTGGTTGAATACCTTCAAGCCCGACGTTTTGACCAGACACCATACTGGTCGACCGCCCTCCTTGACCAAGACGAGAAAGAGTTGATGATGTGGGATGGCTTTGAGACAGGACGAACCGATCCGAGACGCGACGGCTTCGAGAGGGAACCGCTCCGAAACGGGACGAACCGGTCCGAGACGAGACTGCTCCAAGCCAAGATCGCCTCGAGCCAGAAGGCAACGGTCAGATACGGGATTTACCGCTTCTAAAGCCGACGCCGAACCACAAGGTTGGAGCTCGGCCAAATGGCGGCGCTCTATCTTCGTGAATGCCGCCAAATGCCCAGCCCAATCTCCCTATTCATAAGACTATGTTCCCCGTGCGTGAAGCGGTAGCCTAGTCGCTATGAGCTTTTCCTGCGTCACCCGAACTTGGCCACTATGTCACCGTCGATACCTCCACCCAAGCCAATCCGAGCCGAAATCATCTCATGCGAAAGTTCCCTACTATCCACCAACTCGCACATCTCCAACACAGCGGGCACTAATATCCCTTATTATCTCCCCATGCCCTATTGAAACCCTTCCATGTCCCTAGCATGGCGGGCCCAGGGACCACAATCATCGTACATAAGGGAGCCTGCGGCTGGCCGCCGGTGGTGATTGACACAGAAAACCATCCTAAAACTTGCATCGTGAAGCGTTCCGCTTCATGTGTACCTTGAAGCACAGAGCTTTTGCGAGCTTGGATATCTAAATGTGAGCTATTCATCTCTCCATCCTAAAGGGCATGATTTGGGATATCTAACAGCGAGAAGTTTCACGTGTCCTCCCAAAAAGGTATAATTTGGCAGATCCACTGAAGAATCTGTGAGGGTTTCAGCTACTCGGACGTTCCCCAAGAGTGGACATCTCCTTTGCTTACTCACGAGACTTCGGGATCAGCAACGAATTCCATAAGTTATCTCTTTTTTCGCCGAATCCACACTTGCCCCCTCTTCCCGCTTTTCAACGCTACCTCCTATCCAAAACCAAGTCCAAAAACGCACATATGTTTCCCTTATTCGTCTTCTGGTTCTGGCTCCTTTCTGTTAAATCTCACTTTCGAATTCCAGGATAAGGTAGCGCTGAAGACTTATATTTCCCTACCGACTTACCCCTAACGAGAATAGTATTAGTTGGAGAGTGATTCTACCTTACTTCACCCAGCCGCCTCCGCCTTTCCTCTCTCGAACCTTCTTTTTCTGCTTATTACGCAACCCGACGCCTAACCAACCAATCTATCCTACCTTTCCAACTCCTGAATTGTGCTGCAACCGGATTTCGGCCATATCAATCACGCCCAAGAGCACGAGCCGATCACCAGGAGCAGAGCTAGTCGGGCTACCGACCCTACCACCGACTTCGCCGAGTAAGAATGCCACGAAGTACGTCTCTGGGACAGTCCGTGCTTACCGGTGATTGCGACCATGAGCCTAGGTATGACAGCCCAGCAACAATCGCCAGGCTCAACGAACTCGAGCGATTTCTCCACTTGGATTTGCTCACTTGGGCAATCGGTGCTGGAAGACGCATACACGACTCCCCTCCCCGCCAATCCCTGCTTGACTCATCGCTGTACAAGGCGCCAGAGCAAGAGCGCGGCCTCGTGGGTTTGAAGCGGGAGAACGACGTGGCGGTTAAGAACCGGTTCGAGGCAGCTCTTGAAGTCCGACGCCCTGGAATGAGATGGCTCAGGTGACGAGGAGAGCAAAACCAGGACGAGTCATCCGGCGAAGATAAATCGGGACCATTGAAGAAACATTCCGCTGCGGCTCGCAAGTCCGAGAAGGCCGCAGAGAGCGAGAGCGAGAGCGAGAGCGAGAGTGACAGTGACAGTGACAGTGACAGTGACAGTGACAGCGAGAGCGACAGCGACAGCGACAGCAACAGTGACGGTGAAAGCGAGAGTGACGGCAAAAGCGAGAGTGACGGCGAAAGCGAGCCGCCACTCGGAGATGCCGGATGATGATTCATTTATCATGGCAGCCTCCCTCGCCGGTGTCATCGTCGAAGTCGTTTTGTAAGTCCTTTTGCGTGTCAGCATCGTCGAGTTCTTCCGCTGACCGCACGTCGTCCCCAGCGGCAGATAAGTCGATAGCAGAGTCAATATTACTCTTCGTGGATGGCTGGGTGTGCGTCTATTCGGCTTGAAGTGCTGCCGTAGCTCGTTTCTTACCCCAGCGCCCCAACGTGCGGTGCCTAATAGGTCAATGGATGTTCAATCGCGGGGAAAACTGTGGTCTCTCTCGTCCTTCTCCCTTGGCGCAAGCCGATGATACGGTCACTTGAGAGACCTTCAATCCACGCTCCGTGAGCAGCCAGTCAGAGATGGACGCGGAAGACACTGACCCATAATGTGCCTTGTCGGCGAGGATCGCTTCTTTGAGGTCTGCCTCGATGCAGCTTTGTGTGGCTCTGACAATGAGAAACTCATCGTCGTTTTCAATCCGGTCTTTGAGCGCATCTTCCTCTGGGTCTTTAGCTTGCAATCGCGCCTCCGATACGATTGCTTCTGACTCGGCGCGAGAGGCGGCCTCGGTAGCCCCGGAACGATCATTCATGGCTCCTCTACGTACACCCTTGCACCGGCCAGGAATCATTTTAGGCTCGTCTTCGCTGTCGCGGGTGGTGTCAGTTCCAGACAATCGACGAGGGAGTTCGCGCGTTTCGCATGCTTGTCCTCGGTTTCCTCAGCCTCTTCCTGGACGTCGTACTGGCAAGTTGTCGCAGCAGTCGGTACTGGCGTGGGACTGACCGCATTGCCGTCTGCGTCATGACCTATAACGAGAGTGGCGAGTCTCTGGCACGGTATCCCCCAAGGCGTTGACGGCGAACATCTGGTGGTGCGGTTCGTCCAACAATTCGATTCACGGGCTGGGAGTTTCCTCCCATGGAGATAGAAAGAAGTACAGAGGATTTTGAGACTGGAGCCAGCTAGACAGCCTCATGTGTGCGAAAAGAGACATCAAAGCTAACTGGGAACAATTCGAAGGCATTGACACGAGATGGGAAAACGCATACTCAACCAGAGTGCCCGCAGAATAACTGCAGAAGCATGATGTATAGATTTCGTCTGAATTGGGTAGGTATATATCGTATACACCCCTTTCTCGAAGAGTCATGCGAGTCGTTCCATGTATTGCCAAAAAGGTCATGTGACACTAACACGTGACACGCAGGGAATGGCTTCAAGATCCGACCAGGCCTTGGACGCAATGGATGAATAGAATTCCGCTGTGCTTTAGGAGATTTGTCCATTGAGGCTGCTGTCGGATGGCAAGCCGCAAAACTAGGTACGCGAAAGGAGAGATCGGGGGCCCAAGTCAAAACTAGACTTTTCTCGCCGTAGCAGAAAGTAAATCCGCACATCCGACGACGAGGACGACGACCCGCATTCCACATAGTCGATTGCACAGAGATTATGTAGTCTCCCACCCCCGTTGAACGATGAAATTTAGGGCAAAGTTTGCTCAAAGGCAATGATACGGCGATGGTTTTGTATCAGGATTAACCGGTAGAACCAACTGGTAAAAGGGGAAACAGGGAACAGTAAAGCCAGTACAGCTCGCGGCAGCACGGCAGTTCAACACTGGAGCAAGGAGTTTGAGATGTGCCTGTAGTATTATGAGCAGCAGTTCAATTCTATGCGTGAAAATCATTACCACCGCTAAAGACCCAACAGTCTGTAGGATGCTTCAGAAGTACAGACATTTAGGCAAGGCTGCTTATTACCAAGGGAGTCTGACCTTTTCAGACTCTTCTTTTGTGTGAGAAGCTGTGGGAAATTGCCGATAATTCCATGTCCTTAAAAAGGGTCGCGCACTCGACCTTACTCTCCAGCTTCCGACCAGAACGAACAGCAGTCTTCATTCATAGGCTATAGACTTTTCGAACACTGATCAAGTGGAAGGCTAATTGTCAGGTAGCCAGTTTGTGGTAATCGTACCTAGCTTTGGTGCGCAGATTAAATTGTGGTCGGGCTGGGGTCGGAATTTCAAGAGTTTGGTTTGGTTTGATTTGGTTTGGGGAGCGAAGCACCAGGCATCAGCACCGCACCAGACCAGAGCACTTATCGATAAGATTCTGCCAAGATTCCATCTGGCAGAACGCAAACCGCACCGTAACTCCACGAAAACTTCACTGAATTTCTCCAAACTTCGCCAGCAGCTTCTTCGGTCAATTTAGACTCAATTTCAACGGAATAAAAAGCAAAAAAGAACTCGACATTGGCAGGATTCGAACCTACGCCTCCGAGGAGAATAGATTTCTAGTCTATCGCTATAACCACTCAGCCACAATGCCTTAAGTTGTAAGATGAGGCAATAAGCGCGTTTATAAAACGTTTTTTGGTTGAGTTTTGGCCCAGGGGCAAGGCTTTCAAGCCGAGTTCTGTCCGAGTGGCTGCAGCCTTGCGCTCGGACATTAGAACTTCTCGAATGTCATCGCACAGTTTGCGGCCAACTCGAGATTCCCGCGTAGAAACTTTTTCGGGGAGAAAAATTGTTTCAGAAAGGGGTGAAAAGGGGCGAAAAGGGGCTGTGACTTTATTCGCCCTATGGTAAAGTACCTCTACAATGACAGGCCGCTGAGCGCCTCGAGAAGAACTAGGTAACTGTCGGGAAACCTTTCTATGCATAGAAGTAGATAATGACTAGACACTCACGAATCACTTGACACAAAGCTCGCCGCTGTCGATGGTGACAGTGGAGCCTCTGTATGTCTTTGGATTCGTGTTGGTTGTCTTGATTGTTCATTCAAGGGGGCTATCGAAGTGTATATACAAAGGAGACGGAGAGTGATGTGGCGCGAGCTAGCTCGCGCCACACTGCTTGGTACTGTGATAACCAGTACACGTGATTCCCATTGAATAGTTACTGACAGTAACATTTCTTCGGATATCAGGTTATTGCCTACAGATATCAACATACATCCATCCATCCATCCATCCATCCATTCAAAACAGGAAAATCACGATATTTCATTCGAATTACGTCCGCTACTTCTCAATCTTCATACTGTTCCCAAACTTTACGTAGCCCATGCAGCCGTGTTATTCCTAATTCTGCGGTATGCTACTTACTGCAAGCGGCTTCTCCTAAATACAACGACTCCCTTTTGTCGCAATACGAATCCTATCAACATTTGACTGCCGTCATGCTGGCATTTTGGATCAAAGTACAAACCTGGTGGATGAAAGGTCACGAGTGTTATGCATATAATCTGCTTCTTCATTAAGGCAGCCCACCCACATTTGGCACACCCCACCTTTGGCACACCCCACCTTTGGCACACCCCACCTTTGGCACACCTCAACACCAAAACCTCACAATCACTTCCATCCACCACAACACCACCAAAACAGCGAATCTTAATGAAATGCCTGCCTACTCTACATCTGACCTCAAATTTGCCATTCGGGCATACCAAGATCCCAATCGAAAAATCAGCGATCGTAAATTAGCGCAAGAAACTTGTGAAACCAGGAATCGGCCTTACTGTCGGCCCGAGAGCATCACTGTGCATAAATACCTCGTAGATAGCCTCCATCAATCGACAAGTCTCTTCTCCCTCACTAAGGGCTTCCCTGTGGTTAACTAGCTCATCTTCTTTCGCTGTCGCTCCTGTGAATCAGGTTTGATAAAACTGGTGTGCCTCTTAATACTATCAAGCGACATGCGAACGGTGGTCTGAATGCTTCTCAAGCTCAGCTTTTACAGCAGAAATTGTCCCCAGATCAGGAAAAATGGCTCGTAGACTGGATTATTGACGAAGAACGTGCCTGGCGCCCTCCTTCGCATACAAGACTGCGAGAAATGGCTGGCTATCTTGCTCGGTTGGGTGGTGATGATACTCCCATTGGCAAAAATTGGGTAGACGGCTTCCGGAAGCGTAACCCACGCGTCAGCACTCTCATAGGTCGATCCCTCGATAAACAGCGAGCTGAGGGATCCAATCCAGATACAATTCAAAACTTTTTTGAAATATATCAGAAGATCTGCCGGGACCATCACATCCAGCCTCAAAACCGATGGAATTTTGACGAACACGGCCTATCTATGGGCTGTTTTTCCAATGGCAGGGTCCTTGGAGCAACTAGAGAAGGAAGAAGCAGGCGAACATATATCAAATCCCCAAACCTGAGGAAAGTAGTCTATCTATCTAAAAAGCTGCAAATCCGAATATCTAATGCTAGGTTTTTAGGCTAGATAGTAAGCTCGAGTACTCCCGGAGAGTGTACAGCAGCTCAGATCCATCAATAGACTGTAAATACTATGAGATTGCAGCAGCTTACTAAGAGAAACTGGCTTTTTTTCACCATGTCTACAGACACTACCCTACTCCTTTCTTTCAAAATTCAGCTAAGCTAATCAAATTCGCGTTATATAACACCAATCTGGAATGTACAAACCTAAGAAAAAGTAGTCTTTCTATCTAAAAAGCTGCAAATCTAGATATCTAATGCTCGGCTTTTAGGATAGCTAGCTAGCTCGTGTACTCCCGGAGAGCGTATAGGAGCTTAGATCTACTAATAGATTGTAAAACAATATAAGATCTCAGCAGCTTACTGGAGAACTAGCTTATTTTTCACTTGTCACATGCTACATTGGCATGAGCCACACAGCATTGGCATGAGCCACATACACACAGCATTGGCACATGTATACGGCATTGGAGATACACATGCGACGTTGAACATATGCGGCGTCAAATATGCAGCGGCGTTGGACGCATACATGCAGCGCGCGATATTGTCGCATGCCAAGACTATCGCCTCCATCGCCTCCATCACCTCCTTCGGAGCATCCTTTCATGGCATTGCGCCTTTTGCTACATCACAACGGAATATGTTTCTCACCATGACGATATTTCGGCATGGCAAGATTGGGTATCAATCGGCACAGGTGTGAGGATATAACCAGCTGGTTCTACAGCATGTAGATAGCCAGCGATCAATCTATTCATCTACTCACAATTCTATTCACAAATCTATCCACAAATCTATTGACCAACCTCCTCACCTCATTTTACATCTCTCAATCACTTTCCTCACTATCACTCATTTGCCGTCACGTGTTTGTGTTCAGACTGTTCTACACGTACCTCTCACCAAGGATTGTTACATCACTATCCACCAAGTCCAAAGATAGCCTCTTACCCTTTTTTCTTTTCTAGCACTTAGGTATTCAGCCAAGTCCATCAAAATTCACTTCGTGGAGTAGAGATTTGGAACGTGTAACCCTGAGAAAAGTAGTCTATCTATCCCAAAACCTGTGATTCCGGATATTTAATGCTTGCCTTCTTGGCTAGCGAGCTCGCTGGAAAACTCCCGGTGACTGTACAAAGGCTTAGATCCATCAATAGATCCTAGAAATTTTGAGATCTTGCCAGCCTACAGGGAGAAACTGGCTTTTTTTTCACTAAGTCTATACACAGCCTCTTCTCCCTTTTCTCAGCCCCTTACCCCTTTTTCTTTCCAGAATTTAGGAATTCAGATGTCTACCAAAACTCACTGTGAAAAGGATCGATTTGGAGCAGACAACCCTGAGAAAGATAGTCCTTCTGCCTCAAAAGCTGCAAATCTTGATATCTAACCCTGAAAAAAGTAGCCCTATCTATCTCAAAATCTGCAAATCCGGATATCCAATGCTGGATTTGAGTTTGGCTAGCTAGCTCGAGTGCTCCCGGAGAGTGTACAGTAGCTTAGACAGAATAATAAACTGCAGATATCAGGCAATTCTTGACTAATTACAGAAGGGACTTGACTGATTTTCACGATGTCCACAGACAGCCCCTTACCCCTTTTTCATTCTTCAGAATTTGGGAATTTAGCTAAGTCAACCAAAATCACTTCACGTAGCCCCAGTTAAGAGTGTATAAACCAAAGAAAAACTAGTCTATCTACCACAAAATCTGTAAATCTGGATATCCAACGCTAAGCTTTTAGGCTTGCTAGCTCGCTAGAGTGCTCCCGGTGACTGTACAAGAGCTTAAATTCATCAATAGATTGCAGAAATCTTGAGATTTCAACAGCTTGCAGGGAGAAACTGGCTTTTATTTCACCATGTCCACAGACAGCACACTACCCCGTTCCCACATATCCCGGACATACGGGGCTACACCGGAGATAAAAGAGCTCTCCCTGGTGCGTTTGGACCGTATATAACCGGATCTTCGGTGCCCGCGCCCCGGGGAAACCGTTGCTAACTCACCGAGTCTCGTCCTCAACTCGTGAGACGGTGAGCCCATTTTCCACCACCACAACAACCCACCACCACCACCATGGCTCTACCAACAATTGTGGAGGGTCGTCCTCTCTCCCTTGTCTTCAGGGATGCGATTATTGATCTCGAGACGCGGCAAGTTCCAAGAGAAGTGCTGCAGCTTCAAGACGCTCACTTGACAACGCGCTCACTTCCAACGAGGCGTGACAACATTGAGGAACATGAACGGAGGCTTGAGCAGACAGATTTCATGGTTGTTTCTTCTCCCAGCCTTGTCTACGTCAACCAAAATCTTTCTGTCTGTCTACGAGCTACTCATGAGCCGCTCTTCCAACTCCAGGAAGCGAATGACCTTCTTGGATCGTATACTCACGACGAGGTCCTTCAGCTCCACCGCGAGCAGATCGACAAGAGGGTCCATGGGCCCAAAAAGCCCAACATCAAGAAGGCCAGCGAGCAATTCGTGGCTCAGGCTCCGTTCGCAAAGGATTGGCAGGCTCTAATGGACAAGGTCTACGCTGGAGAACCGGAAAACCTTAAGTACGCAATAAAGGCATGGGCGGCACCATTGATCAAGTTTGTCAAGCGGCGAAAAGAGAAAAAACAAGCGAAGGACGGTGACGCGGACGTCGGCAATCCAGGTCAGTCTCTACGTACGATCACGTTGATAGGGGGGATTGTTGACGGCACTTTCGCTAACACAACTACTCGCAGACAACACCGACAACGCCAGCAACGCCAGCAACGCCGGGACAGAACTCACGGCGACCGATGCGGATTCGGAGGCCGGTATGGCGGTGGGTGTGGTGGAAAATGAATCACAGCAGAGTTTAATGAGGATGTTTTCATGAGATATCTACGGTGCATGGAGGCAGCATGGAAAATGGAAAGGGGAGCCGGATTTGGCGTTTCTTGGGTGTTTGAAATTGATATTCCCGTTGAAGACGGATGGAGGATACTCGATTGGATTACATGGGGAGCGAGAAAAATGGACGTACGAATGGACGGATGGACGTTGGAACGTGTCTATTGAAGGGCGTCAGAGCGAGCAACGGCGCAGGAAAATTTATTCTGGAGATG